TATATATATATATATATATATATATATAGTAGATCGTCACAATTAATGTGATTCAATTTAATGTCAAAATTGTAACGACATGCATTAAGCTATTTCACGAATATCTATAATATTCTCGAATAACCTATATATTTGACAGTATAATATTTTACTGATATACAAAAAATATAGATTTAACTTGTGACATAATTTTTTATATAAAGTCTTGAGATCGTTGACTGATACTTTAAAAACGAATGATTAAACTAATTGTATTATTAGACGAATAAAAGATATTCTTTGCGCGTAACTTACTTCCTTAGGCGTATCATCTAATTTCTCGCAACTTCCTGGACAAGTTTCATCTCGTGTTGCATCGAAATCGTTTTCCCGATCTTTATTAAGAATTTCATCGACTATCGCATTGACTTTTTTTTCTGTTTGTCTAGACTTTTTTTCTTCTGTTCTATTCATCTCATTGTCAATTTAATCTATTTGAAAGGTTAGTGGAAAGTATCATTAAGATTTCTATGTGTCTGAAACTGAGCATTCTGAAGTTTCAGAAGAGAAAACTCTTTCAAGAATCGCATAGGCGAGTTTTTAATTTGATTATGATCAGTCACATTATGTGCAAATACAACTTTGCTGCATAAAAGCTGCATTTATGTATAATGCGATTGATCAACCAATGAATTAAAAAATTCGCTTTACCTTATAACGTGAAAACACACACCATTCTCAATATATTATTATAACGCATATACGATAATATTAATGTATAACACAATAATATGATATAATATAATATAATAAAAAAATGTGCATTTTTTTCAGATGTCTGCACTACTTCAGCTCGAACGCTAAACTGGAAATCCACAATAAAGACTGTGGAAAATTGAACGATTGTGCGATCAGGCTATCGAGCGAGAACAAGTGGTAGAATTTCGGCATTGCAGGAAGGAGCGTGTCCCATTCGTTGTTTACGCTGACTTAGAGTGCGCTTTGGAAAAGAGTATGGATATCGGAAAAAATAAAAAATGTAAAAAAAGCGTCAAGTATATTTTGCAGGAAAAAGATACCAAAGATAACGCCATAAAAAAAGAAGTGAAATCAAAATAATATTTCAAGTATCTCTATTTAAAAAGTCCGATAGTTCTCCGAGCAGCATCTCGAAGGCATCCTTATGATGTAGACGTTCTTTGGATATCTTTTAAGACAGTGTTGTATGGAATAATTTCTCACAATTATAATATACTACACAAAGTACAGATGACATTTGAAGTGTATTAAATATAACAACACATTAATGAGAGAACGAAATGCAATAGATAGCGTAATAAGAGGCGCGGAAACTGAAAGGGATTTTTACCATACATCGATAACAATTAAAAATAAAAAATTGAAAATGAGCAAGATCTCCAGCAGTAGCAGCATACTTGACGCGCTCGTCTTTTCTAAAATATTCAATAAATAATAAATATATAAACAAGATCAGTAGGACAACGAGCCAATATAACAAAAACAAGATTTTAGAAAAACGAAGTAATATATTAAAGGAAAGTTACATTTTAAGAGATAAAAAAACACACAAACGTTTCGACGCCGATCGGGTCATTTTCAATGTTGACAAATTATTAAACGTTAAAGAAATTATAAACTGAACAAATAATATTTGAAAATTCGCTGAAGTATATACACTTTACTGTTAAGTCGTTACAAAGATTTTTTCCCCTCCTTTGCTCCTCTCTCTCTCTCAATGCGTAAGATGTCCATTTATAAAAGTTACCTCTCTCCACCACACGTTAATAAATAATACATCAGTATTACGTGGAATCGTAAATTCAAAGTAATTTGAATTTCTTTCTCTCCGATTTCGTCTTCTAATTCTTAAATCATTTAGTAATTCATAGTCCAATTCTTGTATGATGACATTCACAATATTATTTACTATATCTAGGTCATCATCCATCATAAACAGCATTATTAGATTTTTATAATAATCTTAACTATATAAACGTCACGACTCGATATATATATGTAATAATTACTATTGTTTCAATATTTAGCACTGATTTCTGTTGAACGACGAATAATTTACTACTTTTGATTAATAAAGATTTGATTGTATCACACATTGATATCCTATGTTGGCCCATATTGGCATTTATACATCATTACATGACTAGATTTAATCTTTGGGCCTATTGTTATTACTTTTGTTTAATATAATATTGTATAATACAACATAATTTATATAAATATTTAATATAAATTATACATTTAATAATTTGATACCTGATTTATAAACCGCGCATGTTAAAATTTCCAATTTTGAAAGCGATTTTTATGCTGAGATTCCTCTGTGATGTTAATTTTGAAAGATTTTGATAAAGCTATGAATTTAATAAAGCTTCCTCGCTAGGACTCGCGGTCCCTGTATCGATTCGCAATCGAAATAACGCCACGAGAAGGTGCTACGGTCAAGGGGCGTAAATAGGTGTATAGAGAAAAAAGTAGGAGGAGCAGCCGACCTGGCGTAGGTTGCCGGGAGTGCATACGTGAAATATTAATAAGCGGGCAGTCGGTGAACGTGACTGCGCTGTACGCGGAAGTGCTTTTGCACGTTATCGGTATATTCCTCGGCTTTCTCGACTAGATGCTATAGGTACTCATGCTGTGTACAAATTACAAATCGCCATTCCGCGAACATGAATGCAATAGATACTTATACACACGATAGATTCGATAATTATAAAATTATATATACGCTATCACACTATTTTTACTTTAACAACATCGCAATTCCCCCCCCCCCCTTCCACTTCATGCTTTGGGATTTTATGAAAAGATTCCATTTATGCTCCCATCAATCCCCGTGTATGATGTCGAAGATATCGGAAAACGATGCTTTATTCTCAAATTTTAAAATACAAAGAGAGATATCCTCGAATTAATATACTATTACAAACATATAATATTATTTTTTATCGTTTTTTAATCCCACAGAAATTGCCGTAATTGCTACTAAATAAATTATTTAGAGATTGGGAAGAAAATAATTGAGAAGAAAATAATTTTCAGCTTTCGATTTGTCTAGACAAAATTAATTGGCTTGTGTCCATTCTACAACAATTGCTAATTGTAACGCCCATTATTAAAACCCATTACACGCAGTTAATAACATTTGTGTTTATTAAAAAAGATTAATTTTTATTTTACAAATTATACCCTTGCAGTAATAACCATTATTATGGCTCGAGAAACAGCTCGCGATAAAAATAAGATTACGCGGGCGAAGCGCAGGTGAATCGGGAGAAGAGGTGAGACTCGCGGCGCGAATCGGACTTGGCAGGCACCACGCTCCACTTTTTCCTCGACGGAGCGGAGGGACGACGAGGCGCGCTGGTGTGAGCGATTCCGCTTGTTGTTTCGCGCCGTTTCCGATAAGAACCAGTAGCCAGGCCGGCCAAGAATTACCTGGACGAGTGCGCGGAAGGATAAGAATAATAACGGTGTTGGCGCGGTAAGCCGCAATTTGCCAACGGCCTGGGAACTGAAGGGCTGTGGATGGCCTGCCGCGCTCCAATGTGGGCAAATAGTCTAAATGAAAAAGATCCCTGGTGCCCCTCTTGTTGGTGCAACCTACGTTGCTTGAAGCACGTCGTTCGATAAAAAAACTGGCGATCTCTTTCTCATTCGCCAACTACATATATACCTCTTCTTCAGCTACGATTTATCAATCCCCACTTAATTATAATGTAGATGCTCTTATCTGTGGATAATGATCCTTTCTCGAAAATGACAATTTAAACTTCGAACTCTCTAAGGCTTGCAGTATTAATAGTCGGTTCTTACATTTAAGACTTAGAGTCCTAAGTACAATCCTAAGATGTTGTCAGCCAATCACAGAGCTATATTAGCACTTTACATTATTACTTAAGAGGATCTTAAAATAAGAATCGATCATAAATACTGGCCTATGAGTCGTTTCTTTCTTCGGTGGCGGATAACATGTCGAACGCGCGGGCATTGAAGTCTATTTGCGCGAATCTTTGCATTAACTTAATGCCGCTATATATTCTGATTGAATATATGCAATTAATAAAGCTAGGAACAATACGAAAAGAAAACGAAAGGAACATGAGAATATTTTTTATCGTAATTATTTTCTATATATTCTTACATTAAAAAATATTTCATCAATAAATTTCATCGCGGATACGCTTTACGACTTACTGATGCACTTTTTACTTTTTTGACTACAATTATGACTTGCTGCGATTCTGCGCCTTTGAAATGATTGAAGATGCTTTTATAAAAATTTTCTTCACCAAGAACTTTTAATTT